CATGGGTTTTAGTTTTCTTAAAGCTATTTCAATTATCTATTAGCAATTAGCTGCAATTCAGCTGCCATGTGAGACTGTTAATGCGAGCAGGGAAGATGCAGTCAGTAGCCTGGCTCAGCCAAGCGTCCATCAGGGCAGGTCCGAGGTCAAGCTGGGAAATCAATGGCTCAGTTGAGCTGAAATGGGGTCCTGAGCCCCTGGGCTGGGGCGTGGGAGGAGGGGTTGCCTGAGGGGTGACCCTTCAGAGTCAGTCACGCTCGTGATGAATTCACAGACTCTGGCATGGTCCTACGCAGAGTTTGTGAATTTCGCTGTCAAAAAATGTTCTGTGCCCACCTACCTAACGTGGGCAACTAAACACGCGTAAGGAAGCAGGTATCATAAGCTAAACAAAGCAGTCTTGGACCACCACAAACCTAAAGCAGAGGAGCAAGCTCAACTGAAAACGGAGACCCAAAGCAATACAGGGAGCAATACTGGAAATGTATTGCTGGCGCATTAGCAAGGCAATTTACAGAGACAGCAAAACAGACTTGTCACCCTTTCTGGCACTTCATGCTGACTCTTTCAACCGGACTTTTGACACGTGGTAGGAAATAGGTCCCTACCCTGGCAATCTTAACCTTGTCCATGGTTCCTTACAAGGTGCTTCCCCTTCTGTTCTTGTGCTTCCATGGTGAACAACCACAGGGAACAAAGATATACTCTGTTCCAATTTCATGTCTCACCTATTTGTTTCCCTCCAAAGGAGTACATCTTCTGGATAAATACCAAGTGCATTTATAGCAATTTGAATTTTTTTCTTCCCGTTTCTTTGAAGATCAGTATGCCAGACTGTTCATCTTCCCTGTGAGCTTCTCTGCACTTAACACAATATTATGTTTCTGGACTAGAACGTTTTCCTAGCTTAAATGACCTGTCTTCAAGTACATATTTTAAAAGACAGTAACCGCCCTTTGTAAATCATGTCTCTTGGGAAGCAGTCATTCTACAGGTATCTACTGAACCTGAGAGTGACCAGACAGGAACAAACCTCAGATCTTCCAGGTAAGCCTCCCATGCCCCTGCTGCCCATTTTCTCGGTACCACACTAATGATTTAAACAGTTTAATCCAGGGTGCTATGCTATTTAGCTCTAGTGCATCTATCCCCTGGACTGTTAAACTGTCCTTGCCCACAGAAGTCACTTGATAAAATAGCCGTGTTGGGGACAATGAAAGCTTTTTTTAACCCTGCATAGGCAAACAGATAAATACCCACAGCACCTCACTTTAAGCTGCCCTAGAACCCCTTCCATGCCAGATACACACCTCTCCCCTTCTAAATCCAGTTGACTTTGTCAGCTCTCCCAAAACAACAGTTGTGCGTGATTCAGTCTGGGAGCTTTCCTATTGCTGCCATGTATTCAGGGAAGTTTTGGGTATTAGAAGTCATATTTCCATATCAGTCCAGAGGGACAGAGGAGAATACTTGTAATCTGTCCCGATCTATACGCCCTGTAACAGCAGTGCCATTTGCTAGAAGACCTAGTCATTATCTGCCTTCCTGGTTTACAAAGCTCCCATTTATATCCTTGGACAAAGAAGAGGAGGGAAGTCAAAACGCCTTATGAAATCTCACCCACTTACCACAAAGACAAACTGAAAGTTCTCAGACAAAGAATTACTGACCTCCACAGAAAACAGGGAAAAACACATAATTGTACACAAAACACACTAGAAAACATGATGAATTGTATTTTCATTATGGCCTTCAGTCCATATAACAATGTTTTTAGCTGCCCTAAAAAATTATGTTTTGCAATTGTGAACAGTTCTCAAGAAAAGTATCCATTGCCATATCCTTCAGCAGTTTCAACAATGAAACAAGAATCGACTTCTGCTCGTTGCAACTGCCATTGTATCTTCGTTTCCTCTCGGCACTGCCACTTCTTAACCAATTACCTCTTTCTCATAGAGTCACTATTATTCCCTGTATTGCTTCTCCTGGAGAAGTTTGGATATGATCCTCGCCACAGCACCTCTTGCCCCTGTGGACCTCCTACAGCATGGACTTTCAGTATTCTGAATTCCAACTTCTGGTGGAGTAAGTCTCTGTATCTGCACAGCCAGCTGTTCCCTTTTAAGAGCTTGTCTTGGGATTAAACTGACTAATGGTGCAAAGCCAGTTCCTGAGTGAGGAGCACTTTCTGGTGGAGATGAAGGCCGAATCTATATGAACACAGTCTCCGTCATTTGTTATATTGACATGAAATCTAAAAAGCCAAGAGAAAAATAAAAATTAGAGCAGAACTTTGGTCTAAATATTAGAACACCTATTTCTTATTCTTTGTAAAACTGGGCCTCAAAGACGGCAGAGAACAAACTAGAGAACAATTCAAAATGAGCTCCGCTTCTCATTGGGAGGATCAGAATTCACATGCACATGAAATGCATGGTGATGCTCTGATACACTTTCTACTAAAACAAGCTGCTTTGATCCCCAGAGAGATGTACCACATGTCGTTGTACTTCACAGTCTACAATGTGTTGAGAGCATAAAAGGCACAATACACCAGAGCAGGAGAGAGAGGGTCCCAGCGGGACTCATGGCAGTGGTACTTCTCCAGTACAGAACGGAGCCCTGCCACCTCTTCCCATGGATTTTGCTGAGTCTCTGCAGAATATATAGGATGTGGATGCAAAGAAAGCCAGTCTCCAGGATGTGGGCAAAAGCGACGCCTTCTGAGGCACAATCCCCCAGCCCAGTGACCTTTCAACGTGGTCCTGAGCACCTCAGTTGGTCTTAGGACGCCCTGTCTATACCGGCTGAGTGTTGAAGCCTGCAAGACCAACAGGGCGAGCTAATTCAAGCAATTTATAATGTCTAACATCAGTAATTCTTCCTACTAAGACAAATATTATCCGTCTCATATAGTGGGATTGTACAGAAACAAGCTACTTCAGGCATAACCTAACAGCCGCTATGCAACCACATGAAAAAGCAGGCAATGATGCCCCTTTCTGACTTCTCTGAGGACATAACTAGTTTTACTAGCTTAGTATTAGCATTTTTACAGCCATATGACAGCCCTCATTTGGTAAGATAGGCCAGTTTATCTATGGTGGAATAGGTAATACAGAATAACTTTTCTACTTGGACAAAAAAAACTACTGACTCTCCTCCTACATAGTGTATTTGAAAGAAAACTCACAAGTTTGTGTCAAATGACTGTCCATTCACCCAGAAGAATTTGTTTCCTTTCCTGCGCAGCCCAATCCAGAAGTCTGTTATGCGTATTCGATACATTATAAAGTTCTAGAAAAAACACAGAATAAAATGACATATGGCTATTAGATTTTTTTATGATTATTGTTATATAGCTTTTTGTACAAAAACTGCACAGATATAAACTGTGTCACAGAACATACAATGGTGGACATTTTTTCCCCCACAGGTCACTGACGTTTTACTGCTAAATTTAATTAGATGAAATACTAAAGGAAGCCCTAGATCCATTATTAACAGTCAATGAGGTCCCAACTATTTAATTGGTGATCATGCAGAGTTTTACTGACCACCCACCTAAACCCTGTCCCACCCTGCCATTAAATACATCCACGTATGTCATTAGACATACCATAGCACATTACACACCAGTACAATGGTTTCACTGTATCACCAGGAGAATGACATTTAAGTACAAGGACATGTATTTAGCAGGGACACAGTGCCTGACTCAGCACAGGTTGCCTTGACTGTGTTATATCACCATAATTCCTTGGATCTCGGTTATGTTGCGTCTCTACCAAATTCAAGTCACGTATTTAAAATGCCCCAACTTCCCAATTTTCACACTTTTACTCCTGATGCTAATAGTATCATAAGTGTGTGAGTCTGTTCTGTTTTCCTGTTCCTTATATTCCTGACTGTAAAGTCAGTTGGGACTACCTAAACTGAAACTCCAGGACATTCAAGGGCACACACGTAGTTTACCATCTGCAGTATGAGTAAAATAAAGATGTTCTCAATTCTTTCCTTGTGATCCTATAATTGTCTCTGAAAACACATTTGCTATAGTGCTATAGTGGTATTAGCACATAGATGTGCACCAGTGGTCTGCAAACTCAAAATTAGTTTAGAGTTATATTTACTGTGGGAATTGCTGTTGACTGTATTTTGGGTACCCTGGAGAGGGAATGAACATCAAGAGGGGGTGAGGACAGGATAAATTGCCTAATTTAAAATCCACACATAAATTACCAGTTCAAAAATAACCAGCCACACCTTATTTGTTAATAATTGGGAGTCACTACTCCATTGTTATATTCTTTCAGACTTTTTAATTTATACATAGTTTGCCTTTTCAATTTCTGCAATACCCTCTAAGGTAATAGAATTTCTACAGCAGATTTCATGTCGCACTGAAGTACTCTGTAGGCTGTACTGACTTGCAGCAAAGAAGCCTGCCATACACTATGCTGGGTTTCAAGCTACACAAGGGAACGAGTGATGGAGTTACAGAAACTGTTAGGGCAGCAGACGTAACACTGAATTCATGCCGCTGGACGTCTTACCAGCTCTTGATGGCTGTCAATCACTGCAAGGGAAGCTCCATAGTCAGAGCAGGACTCCTGACTGGAATTCCAATCTGCCATGGATCTGCCTTCTGAATGATAGTAACACTTCCTCCTGTAGTACAGCCAGTCATCCGGGCATGGCTCCAGCTGTGGTAATTTACGTGGATCTTTTTTTCAAATGAGGAAATGAAGAGAACGTTACTAACTCATCATTACTTATTTAAAGTGCAATTGTATACACATTTACATGTTCCGGACCTTCTTCCTCTATCTTAAAAATATCTGCGACTTGCACTGAATTAAGCAGGAGATGGGTGAACAGGATACAACTGAAGGATTGTTCTCAGTCTTAGTTTTTCGAGTTATACTGGCTATGATGTGTCCAGTAATCCCTGATTACATGCTCACATGCTGGGCATGTGCCAGCAAACAGACCCCGGCATGTGTAAGTGCAAAACTCCAGGTACACCAGGGACATCACGGGTGAGAACATCACGGCAGAAGGCTGTCTTTAACAAAGAGTGTGGACATAGGCACTGGTTATTTACTGTGAAGCAGCTAGAATTTGACCCTAAACAGGCTCCCGTTCAATGCATTCAGTTGTAAAAAGAACTAAGTCAAGAAGTCAGTGCTGCCTCCCTAACTCTGCCTATGGCTTTGCCATTCCTCAGCATTTTGCGATGCTGCAATACAAGGAAATCCTGCATAAAGTTAAAAAAAAAAAAAAAAGTCAGTTTAATGCTACCAGAAACAACTGTCCAAGGTCAAGCCATAATACAATTTAGTTTCACTTTCCTTTTCTGGATTCTTATCTCTGTAACAGCAGCCATGACAGTGTGTGTGAGAGATCTGAAAGCCAGTGGAAATACCTCTTACCCTCCAACAATGAAGAGAAAGCATAACTGGAGGGAGAAGTACTGAAATTCTCCTTCCAGAGCTAGGTGGTTTTTTTTTTAAATAAATGCACTCACTTTGAGTAATCCATGCTAAGAGTAAAATCACAGCAACAGAAATGACAATTCCCGCAATTCTTCTCCAGAAAGAGAAGTCTGAAAACAGATCTAAGGAGAGAAAGGAAGATTAATGCACATCAAGGAATAAAGCACATGTAACGAACTGAAGACTCAGGTCGACAAAACCCATGCAGAAACTTAACTGAGGTTTCCCAAACGCGTGCAACGACCACCTGAAACCACCGGGTACTGCAGAGCTTCAGTACTTCTACAACTCGACCGGATTTTCAAAGCTATTAAACGGCCAAATCCCACACAAATACTCACAGAACACAGTCACCCGGGCGCCTCAGCCCCACGGTACCGCCCTGGGGAGGAACGGGCGGTCCCGGCCCCGGACAGCCCGGGGTCCCCCGGGCCGCCCCGTCCCACCACGCTCCTCCCTGGCACGGCCGGGGCCTCGCCGCGGCTCCCCTCCTGTCCCCGTC